TGTCAATTAGGAGTACTTCGATGAATCCACCTCAGACAAGGCCCTCCATGGTTGCACCTGAAAATCAAAGACATTTCAGGACATCTTATCATGTAACAGAAAAATTCCTTCAATAATATTTTTTATAATGCATAGGCATGATTATAAAAAAAATAAAAGTGGAGTTCTAAATAAAGCCATTAATACAATAAAAATATCATTTTATGAATTCAATGCATTCAGAACTCCCAACACTATAATGACCCTATTTTATGCTCCAAAAAAATTAATGAACCAACAAACTTTGCAGGCTAAATCAAGTCTCCAAAGCACACAGTTTTTAGAAAGTAGAGGATTATGAAAGGAGGAATCTTAACAAGGGCCCTGGACTTCAGTAGTTCTGCTGTAATGGGGTCAATGAAATCATGTCCCCATTCTGAAAGGGCAGTCGTTCCTCTTCATTCTGTATGGACCAAATCTCACAAGCAACTCGCGCGAATTAAGCACAAAGACGAAGCTGGACAAAACCCCGAAACTGTTGATTATTCTCGCCACGAAGCCATGATAGTGTGTTGAAAGTGGAAAGCGGCGCGCGTAAAGACAGTCAAGCACAGCGCTCAGCGGAGCAGCGACTGAGCAGGAGTGTTCGCCCCGCGCGCTGCATCACAGTCCGGAGGTGAAGCCTAATTGGATTGAGCTGTACATCACCAAGGATAGCAGCAGCATCAGATCCCTCCGTCCCATACAGGAGTCAGTGTCACTGATCTCTAGCTCTCTGTCATAGCAAGTTCAAACGAGGTGGGGACATGACACAATGGAACACGATGATCCACATTTGGAAAAGGCTTAATATAGAGCATATCAAGGAACCTGATATCAGTTGCGTGGTATTTAAGATATTTAAGATTGTCCTAGATCCTAAGCAGGGATCACTTCATTGAAAAGATGAGAAGATTTAGATCGCTAGGGACCTATCTATCTATCTATGGCAATGCTATTTTAATATTCATAAAAAATCAGGCACTTTGACACTGACCTAAAACTTTCGAAAACCAATGACATGGCAAAAAAAAAACTCCTCTCTGCAGAACTTTTAATGAGCTACACACAAGGGAAATTGCTGTATTTCAATTGGCCACTGGATGGGGATATGACCCTTCTTCTTTCACTCTGCACTTTCTCACCCCTTCACCATCCCTGCACTACATTTGTACGCATTACTTCCTCTCAGCATTCTTCTGGGTAACTTTAACTGAGTGGGACAATTGTTCCTTTGGGATTCATGCCCGTGACCATGTGAACAGAGAGACTGTCTCATTCTACCTCCTCCTTCTTGTGGACCTATTGAAACTCCTAATAGCAGCAAATTCATGAAAAATACAGAGGATATGGTTTTAGACCTGCAAACCAAAAACTCACAGCTAATGAAGGTCAAGTGCAAAGTTTTGAGAGGTCATGCTAAAAGAGAAGAAAGTATTTCAAGTGTCATGTTAAAATAAAATTCAAAGTGTGCAATGTTTTTCAATTTCAAAGTTAACGACTTTGTTAATACAGAAAAATATTGTATAAATGCTACAGTTTTTACTTCTTTACCTGTTATTGGTACACTACAGTTACCTTAGCATGACAAAAAATGATATTATTATTATAAATGTTTTATCATTCATCTATAAAAGATTTATATAGATCAGTGGTTTAAAATCAGATAGGACGTCATTGTGCTGTAAAATGCAATAAAATACAGGGTTTTTGGAAGTAAAAATGTATGAATTATATAACGTACAGTTCAAATTTGTGAACTTTTACAGTAAATTATTTTTAAAATTGCCGTTATAAGTGAACAAACTCTAAAAGCCACCTTGTGATTACATTATTTATAAGTATAATAAAAAAAAAGACATTTCCAGAAGTCCCTGCATAGCAAATCATTAATGATTATATTTTATATTATATATTTTTTTCTTATTATTTTTGTTATCATATATGTGTTTCTTGTTACATTTTATGGTTAGATTTAAAATAATATATTTTTACAGTCTTTTGTCCCTTCTTCTTTCTTTAAAAAAAATATAACAGGCCACTTAAAGTGTAATATTGAGGTTATTTTTCAACTTGGGGTTTATTTTTGAAGTCTAACTGGGTCATTCTTTTTTAATAAAATATATTAAATAAAAAAAAAAAAAAAAAATATATATATATACATAAAATATATATATATATCATTCTTTTGCCTCAAACTACAAAGCTATTAGAGACCAGAAACAGTTTAACGCTTTCCACATTGTGCCACTAATGCCATTGGAACAAAACCTTCAGGCAGATGGTCACCGTCTGTCTGGTCTGAGGTCGCAGTCCCTCCCTCTCTCAAACCGTACATCAGTAATGCAACAATGGAATAAAAAAGATGCAAGGACTATGTCTTGGGTGATGATTCTGACAAACTTGAGAGACAAACCTACTGTACTTGAAACAGTAGAGCCCCATGAGGTAGTGAAGTTTCACACAAAGCTCTCACATCGTTGAGGCTCTGAAATAAATTCTGAGATTATGGAGAGTAACTCAATACCACCCGGTCTCTGAAGAGAGAGAAAGAGACTGTAATTACTTAAAACAAGATGAGTCGGCATGAAAAACGTGATGTAAATATAAATATAAAAAAAACGTAGTATATTACATTAAAGTGGTATGGTACTCTATATACACATAAAATACCATTAGTGTAATTAATTTAAAATTAAAATTAAGCTGAATTAATTTAAAATCACAACATGATTGTGATTTGGGATTTCTGATGCTTCCATGTAAAATCCTGAAGTGCCAGAAGTCCATCTAGTTCCTGTCTGTATCATGCATCCTGCTATTAGGTGCTGGATTGTCTCAGGAGGACCGTCCCTATTGATTTAGAGCTGAGTGCTTGTTCTTGTCCTGCCATGATTAGAGCCTCATGCTTTCCACCGGTCCTGCTATTTTAAACCAATTTCCCAAAGTCAGCCATACCAGCTATAGTATCTGGCAGTGGTTCATCCCATTGAGAGGTCTGTTTTCTGATGGCACTTCCTCAGTTATTCTCAAAATCTGCTGGTGTGTGAGAGTCCCTCAGAACTTCAACCCCCGGAGGCCATGTGTCAGGATGGTGGTCTTGATACTTAATACTTTCCACAGGCTTGGACCCTGTAAACACACAAATATGCATGTTATTCATAGTAATTGAATTTTTTTTTGAATGAAAATATGTTTTGATGTATGTGAAAAATGATCTTAAATTAGAAACATGAGCAAAAAAAATAATGGCAGTGAATCAAAAGCCCCTATATATACAGTTTTGCATGATTTTTTTACACAATAAATAATTAAATGTGCTAAATGTGTTTAAAATTCAGAGTCCTGTTAATTGTATTAAAGTGATACTGATAGACAAATAAAGTAACTCTATACAAGTTCACTCTTAGTTTTTTATCGATCATATATACACTGGAAAAAAAATTTTGTATAGAAAAAGTTTTCACTCGGATAAATTTCACAAATAATTGCAAAGAAAGAGCAATTAACATTGAATTAAATGTGAACATTTTAAATAGAAAGACTAAAATTTTATTGTATTTTATTGTTAAATGTACTCCAATAATATTGGTTTTATTTGCAAAAATACTTTATACAGTGTATGTCTTTCACTATTAAATCATTCGATTAAAAACAATAAAACTAGCTTATTCTTTTTCTTATCATCTATCTGCAAATGCTTACAATTAAGATAAGATCAGATCAGATCATAAAACTGAGAATTATCATGTAACTAGCTATTAAAACATTATACAATACCTTTTAATCTTACAATGGAAAGAAACTGAACTGTATTGGACTATATGGAGTCAAGAGATCTGTTGCTTAGACAACTCTAGGCAATGTTTATTATGTTTAAAATCTGAAACCTCCAATTTGTGCTTTGAAATTGAAGGAAAAAAATTATGAGGCCTAGCGTAAAGCAAGCATCTACATGTTACTAAACGTCACATGCTCATAATTAGATTAGACATGAGCTGTTTGCTTTATCAATAAAAAAAAAATCCTTATATGATTGGTTGGTTCTGCTCCAAATTACATGTTTGTAGAGACGGGAAGTCTATTATGGATTTAACCATATGCTACTTAGTTTATAAAAAATTTTTTGTCATATTTTGTATGGAGACACTACAATATTGTATTGCCAGGCTTGAGTCGTACTGCTCATGAAGATAATTATTTGTAATGGCCCATGAACATAACCAGGGGTTTATGCCTCTTTAGTACTCACAGGAAATGGTCTTGGGCCTGAAATGGACCACTCTGATGGTAATATGTAACCTCTTAACTCCTAAATCCTTGATTGATATTTACAAATCTCACAAGTAATGCTTTATTTATTGAATTACCTGAAAAAAAAGATGATGTAAATAAAATATAATTAACATGAATTATACAGAATCACAATTATATCATTTCATACATAAAACGTAATAATGTTATATAGCTAGTGGAACTTGATTGTCAGCATCCATAAACGTGCGTTTTTGCTCTTTTCTAAGTGCACCCATAAACCTCATTAGGAACCAGCTGGCTGCACCAGAAAAATAGTAAAGGCTCTATCGCTCTCTCTCTCTCTCTCTCAGTGTAATCTGATAACCAGCACACATCTAACCGCGCTATAAAAACCCACTCACTGATAGAGAAAAACCACACACAAGCCAATATAGAGGAGATTCCAAATGGGTAAGAATGGACCTCATCAACAGCCTCATCAACAACAACTTATTTTGTTTGTGTGTTGTTTATACCTGATGTTCTGATCTGTTTCATAAAATGACCCTTTTGTGGGGTGCTTGTGTGTTTGAAAGGCAATAAGATGTGTGTGTGTTTTAACAACAAATGGCACCTTATCTCTTGTTTTTCATAGTTTACTTGCAGGATGATTTAAAAAACTACAGAAATGACACATATCTCCAAAACTGAGTCAAAATCTAGACAACAGTCATATGACAGCGTTGATGGATGGGGATGAACGCAACCAGATATCTGCAAATGTTTTTGAGGTACTCTGCTTATCTAAATCCACTCATTTATTCAGAAAGTATACATATACACCACCGTGCAAAAGTTTTGGGTCAGCAAGATTTTGAAAGAAGACTTTTTGAAAGAAGTCTTATCTCACCCAGGCTGCATTTATTTGATCAAAAATACAGTAAACATTTTTGAAATGTATATTTTTATTAAAAAATAAATAAAAACATTAAAATTGAAGTACACATTTAAAATAAATTTTTTATGTTTTATTATATTTCAAATGTAATTTTTTCTTTAATGGCAAAGCTGAATTTTTTAGCAGCAATTACTGCAGTCTTCACATGATCCATCAGAAATCATTTTATTATGCTTATTTTTTGCTCGAGAAACATTTCTTATTATCAATGTTGACAGGTGTGCTGCTTAACATTTTTATGGAAACAGTCATATTTTTTTCTGGATTCTTTATTTTTAATTTAATGTGTCCTTCCTAAATAAAAGTATTAATTTCTTAAAAGAAAGAAAGAAAACAAAAACTAACTCCAAACCTTTGAATGGTATAGGACATAAAATGCAGGACAAAATATTTTATAACTTTTCAGAGAGAGAAAATCATGTGCCATGCCTTTAGTTTCCTCTGTCTGATAGTGCTGTGAGATGACAGCTTGTGCAGGTGGTCTAACGCAGTGGTTCCCAACCCTGGTCCTGGAGGCACACCAACACTGCACGTTTTGTCTCCTTAATCAAACACATCTGATTCAGGTCATCAGCTCATTAGTAGAGACTCCAAGACCTGAAATTGGTGGGTCAGAGAAAGGAGACATGCAAAATGTGCAGTGTTGGGGTGCCTCCAGGACCAGGGTTGGGAACCACTGATCTAACGTTCCTCATGACTGAATTTTAAACTCAGTGGACTAAGCAAGGAAATGTAGTCGCTCTCGAGAAGCACACCAGGTACCTGGACATACGCGACAACATCAGTGCCAGCCCAGTGCACTACGCCACATCCATGGGACACTTTCGCATCATCAGACTGATAGTGCAGTTCACTGGACAACATGGTACACAGAACCACACCTTTAGACATTTATTAGTTTGAATTAGCTTGAATTAATGCAAAATATGAATGTAAAATATTGCTGTAAAGAAACTAAAATAAACTAAACTAAAAATCTAATTTTTGACACTGCAGAGCTCAATGCCAGGGATGAGGAAGGGAACACACCTCTTCATTGGGCTGTGCAGAAGGAGCAGCCAGGAAGCTGCTCTGTGCTTCTGACTCTGGGAGCAGATCCTAACATCCTAAACAACAGCCAACTGTCACCGCTACATATGGCGGTCAGCCTGGGTAAACATTTTGTGTTAGAGGTGGGTCAGCCTGCTCACAGCATCATACAGTATTAATATTAGAATACAGTCTCATACCGTATTATTTTATTGCCCATATCTGTGTTTCTCGTTGGAAGCAATATACTTAGCCTCTCAATGTAGATAACATTATTACACTTTTGGGTTTAAATAGCAACTTGTCTCACATAAACAAACTGATGTGAACCTGGAAGGAGACTTGGGAAACACCCCTGTCATTTTAGCTGCTTTTTTGGACAACCATGAGGCTCTGGTCTTACTGGCAAGTTGGATTTGATGTTTTGAAATATTCTTTCTTTTTGTTTTTGATGATTGTAACCATTCAATCATTGTCTCTACTTCAGTATAAACACGGTGCAAAGTTCTGTCGTCAGAACAAGCTTGGTCATTTTCCGATTCATGCTGCTGCTTTCGCTGGAGCTAAGAAATCCATGGAGGTCTTTCTTCTGAAAGGTGAGATGTTGTATCACCGAACCAACTGTGTATTCTGAGCCTGAAACATTATATTAGTACTTTGAGCCTAAAAACCTTTTCTCATTTTTCACAGGAGAAGAAGTTGGTCTATTGACACCCATATAAACTATGTGGATAAATCTTGCAGTAGTCCACTCCACCTGGCCGTACGTGGAGGAAATCTTGACATCATTAAACTCTGCATTGCATATGGAGCAAAAATTGAACAGCAGCAGGCAATGGAGGATTTTGTCATAAAATGGACACTAACAGACGATGATTAATCTGGTACTTTTGTAACATATTTATATTTTCCCTTTACAGTGTGATAAATCCACTGCTCTCCACTTTGCGTGTAGTCAAGGTGCCACTGAGGTTGTTAAAGTCATGCTCTCGGCTTATCATAAAGTGTGTGACCTTATCAACATCACTGATGGGGCCAACCAGACACCTCTACATAAGTACTTCAACTATACTAAACCTGACTAAATGAGACTAAACAAACCAGCATATCTGAGATATCTCTCCTTATTTACTTTCCATTTGCAGAGCAGCCATTTTTGATCATTTTGAACTCTCGGAGTACCTTATCTCACAGGTGTCAAATGCAGATGTTTGTAAGTGAATAAACTATGCTTGTAAAATTAAACATGAAATTCTGACAATTACCGTAAAGCTGGATATTTTTGTTCCAGGGTGCTGACATTGACTTTGTTGACTGCAAAGGCCATTCTCCACTTCTTCTGGCAACAAGTTGCGGAGCATGGAGAACTGTCAATCTGCTCCTCACCCATGGTAACCTTAATAAATGAACATCAATAATAATATTTCATTACCATTATTTATAATAATAATAATAATAATAATTTTTATTTTCATTATTTTATATCTTATAACGGTGGTTTTGTCTTATTTTAACCCTCACGTTATGTTCCTGTTTTTTTTTTGTTTTTTTGACCTGGAGACTATATTTTATTTTTTTCGGAAAATGCTAGTTAATGTAATTGAATTGGACTAAAGCTTTGCTCACACAGGGTATAACAACTTCTCCAAAAAATTATAATTGTTGTATCTTTCTGGACATCTTTTCCCCACTTTGTTACACTTGTGATCGTAGTCAAAAATGGCTGACCTTTAAAAATTGCTTGGAAATCTCTCATTTAAATTAATAATAATAATAATAATAATAATGAGTTTCATAAGCTCATCAATGAGGCCTATGACCCATCAGTTCCAAAATTAAATACAAAACCTGTGCTAATTTAAAGAAAACAAGAAGACTGAATCCAAGATTTGGTGATAATATAGCAAAATTAAAGATTTACACCAATTTCCAAAAGGCCTGTCATTTTTGAACGAGAACACCAAATTAGATGATGGATAATGGGTTAAAACCCTTTAGGTCATCTTGAGGCCCCCTTGGAAATTTGCTAAGTCCTCTGGTTAAGAACCACTGTCTTATATTTAATGTCTTATTTATTATAATACTCCAAATAATGATTAGAAATAACATTAAGAAACACTAAAAAATGTCTTGTAGGAGCTGATCTGAAGAAAAAAGACAAATCTGGATGCAACTTCTTGCATCTGGCCATCTTGAAACCAAGGGGTCTGAAAAACTTACCCACAGAGGTACTGCAGGTAAAACATACAGGGCTTTAAGAGACTCTTCCTCTTCATCTTTCACTGAATTACTCATTCTCACAGCTTGCTTAAAGGTCCTAAACTTAAGCCACTGCTGCCCTCTCCTGGTAGTTCCACTAAAAAGAGGTAGGAGACTGCATGAAATTCACCGAAAGTCTCTTTTGGTTGATCCCGCAGCACGAGAGTGTGAGAGAGCTTCTCAATGATGAGGATATTGAGGGCTGTACTCCTCTCCATTATGCCTGCAGACTGGGAATACCAGAGTCTGTGAAGAACATGCTGGGATTAGAGGTCTGGCTGGACCAGAAGTCCAAACAGAAGAAATCTGCACTTCATTTTGCGGCCGAGTAAGTCTGTTATTGTGAAGATTCAGAAATGGCAATAAGAAAACACTAAAAAGCATTTGCATTTGCCAGTCTTCTCAACAAACTGAAGGAAAGCTGCAATTGCATATACGTTTTGAGCATTATTTTCTGTTTCTGGTGAGATATGGGAGGATCAACACATGCCACAGGCTTCTGGAGATGGTGACAGACACCAGACTGCTGAATGAGGGGGATGAGAAAGGACTGACCCCACTGCATCTGGCCTCTCGTGGAGGTCACCTTAAAGTAGTTGAGCTTCTCCTACGCAAGGGGGCGCTGTTTCACAGGTACAAGTGCTTCACTTTTTGTCCAGGGTAAAATCCAATTCAGGCAACAACCAAGACTTTTGTACAGAAGTCCTAAGAGGCCATGGATTATTATTTTTTTTTTTTCTTGTTTTGTCGTGATAACGACTTAATTATCTCGTGATCTCGACATAAGTTATTTTCTCGTGATCACGACAACAAAAGTTGTTTTCTCATGATCACAACTTAATTATCTCGTTATATTGACATAACGAACGTTGTTTTCTATTTATCACGACTTAAAGGCAGGGTATGTGATTTTTCAAAAACACTTCAGAAAACTGATTGGACCATTGAAAACCATTTGAAATGTGTGTCAGCACATCATAAATGGAACCCGGCAGCAGTTTTCTGTCGGGATTTGTTGCGCCGCGCCGCTCACGTCCGTAGACACGGTGTAACGTTGGTTTTGCTTTGTTTCACAGAACTAATCGTTGCCTGGGTTGCGTACGTATATGTGGGGCGGAGCTATCAAAATAGGGGCAAGACCCTTTTGGGGTAGGGGCGTGTTTGTTTTGGTGATTTCAAATATCAACATTGGCTACCAGAAATCGCTTACTCTGCCTTTAATATTTTCTTGTGATTTGGACATAACGAAAGTTGTTTTCTCGTTATCACGACTTAATTTTCTCTGATCACAACATAAAAAAAGTTGTTTTCTCGTTTTCTCGACATAACAAAAGTTGTTCTCTAAGTTACAAAACTGCGCCAACAGTTGGCACTATAGACCGGAATATAACTGATGGGGTGTTGTATAGGCCTACTATATATCCACTTTACTGTACACGTTTGGGACAGAATAAGGACTTTCTTCATGATCGCTATAATTTGTGCAGTCGATCATTACTGACATTTAAATAATTCATAAAGCAACACCGCAAACGCAGGCGAAGCGCCTTCAGAAGGATGCAGAGAACTATTCTAAAATATTTTAGAGCTGCTTAGATTCAACTCACTTTATTTTCCTTTTATTTGAAATAAAATTATACAGAATTTGTAATTTTTAGTAGTCATAGAGGATATGCTGTGACTGATATCATGTGCGCTACAAGCTTGGGATGCTGTCTGAATAGAGTGTGTGTGTGGTTTCCACAAAGAAATGTAGAAAATACAAAAGATTACAACACTGTAGAACATCACTTAATTAAATTAGCCTATAGGCTACACTTTACATATATAAATCACATTTCTTATCAATATACATTTAATGATTAACAAAAAATAAGGAAAAGATGCACATTACAAATATGTCGTTGAAGCGCATCCTAGATAAACACAACATCCCCGCTTATTAACTAGCAATCATGTAGGCCTACTTCAAAGATGCACAAATAAAGATAGAGGTGCAAACAGAATACAGTGACGATAACACTGGTTTTAATAAGCAGTTAGTTTATGACACGGAACGCTATGCGGTGGTGAAACTGTGATGAGTCACGCATCTAGCAAGAACTTAACGATAGACAAAATAATCATATTGATTCAAGCATTTAACATTTATGAATTAATTAAATGTCAGTAATGAACAATACTGCACAAATTATAGCGATCATGAGGAAGTTCCTTATTCTGTCCCAAACGTGTACAGTAAAGTGGATATACAGTATACAACACCCCATCAGTTATATTCAGGTCTATAGTGCCACCTGTTGGCACAGTTTTGTAACTTAGAGAACAACTTTTGTTATGTCGAGATCACGAGAAAATATTAAGTCGTGATAACGAGAAAACAACTTTCATTATGTCGATATAATGAGATAATTAAGTCGTGATCACGAAAAAACTACTTTTGTTGTGTCGTGATCACGAGATAATTAAGTCGTTATCACGACAAAACAAGAAAGAAAAAAAAAGAATAATCCATGGCCTCTTAGGACTTCCGTACTTTTGAACAATGTAAAATGTAATAGTATCTAGCTCAAGGCTATATTTTCATGCATTATTTATTTTTATATGTTTAGTGACTATGGAGGATGGTCATGCCTTCATCATGCTGCATCTGAAGGATTCACACCGACCATGGACACTTTGCTGACATCTAACATCAAACTTCTAAACAAAACTGATGGAGATGGGGTAGTTTGCCTAATTTACTTAAACACTTTTGACACAACGCCTTGAGACCACTAGCTTTAATTTGGCATTATTTTTTCTAGTGTAATATTTTTTTCCTCACAAATTATATTATTGGCAAGCAGTGAATGAGGCTTAATCACAAAATTTTATTTAACTTCAGAATATCTCATGATATTTTAGTTCGGTCCTTTTTCTTTGAGCAGCAATTGAGCTGCATAAACCACAAGTGTGTGTAAAATCTGATGATTATGTTCTCCAGCATGATTTGAGATGATCCAGTGAGCATCTTGAGCTTCAGAGAAAGCAAAAACATTTGACCTTTTAACCTTAATACATTTGCATGGTCAATAATATCCAAAAGTTGTCTGATTATCAACCTAGAAATAGTGCAGAATCTATTACTGTGGTCTGAGACTTTTGGAACCCACTATACAGTATGTGCCAGTTGTTTGTAAAGAATAAGAGTAATTGTGTATATAAAGTTTGGCGTCAGTAAGATAAAAAAAATTTTTTTCAGTCATTATTATACTTTCATTCAGCAAGGATACATTAAAGTGCTAAAAAGTGGCAGAAAAGACTTATAAAATATTTTTTATTAAAAATAAAAACTATAAAATATTTATATTTCAATTAAATTATGTTCTTTGAACTTTCTATTTGTCAAAGAATCCTAAAAAATTATGAGTATGTAAAATGTTTACAGAAAAACCTAGAAATTGGTTAAGTTTATTAGTCAATTATGCATGGTTTTCAACATTTATAATTATAAGAAGTGTATTCAGAGCAACAAAATTAGCATTAGATTAGATATTACTGATATAAGATTAGATATTACTGATCGATTGTGTTGCTCTGAATATTCATCTCTTTTAGAGCACAGCTTTGCATCTGGCTGCTAGGGCAGGTCATGTGGCAGCAGTAAGACTGCTGTTATACAGAGGGGCCAAGATCATCCTCAACAAGAATGATTCCTCTTTCTTGCATGAGGCCGTACATAATGGGAGGAAGGAGGTCACCAACACTGTGATCGAGAGCGACAGGTCAGCCAATTTCTAGAAATGTTTGAAATGCGTTTCCTAGTTTCTTCATTTATATCTCATCTTTGTTTAATATAGATGTGAAGAGGCGATGACAACATACAAACCAAACTCAACAAAACGTTGCATTGTCATGGACATGATTGAGTTTCTTCCAGAGTCCTTTAAAGTGAGTTTTTATGTTGCTCAAGCCTGACACTTAAATTAAAGATTTAACACTCGAACCAGCGAGGCATTGCATATTTCCCCAGCATCTTCTAGACACTTGCATAAAGGAATCAGAGGAAGATGTGAACAGCACTGATTACTACGTAAGTTTCCTTTTGTACTAGACGCTTAAAGGGTTAGTTCAGCCAAAAATTTAAATTAGGCTGCGTTTTACTCACCCCCGATGCATCCTAGGTGTATATGACTTTCTTCTTTCAGACGAATCCAGTCGGAGTTATATTAAAAATTGTCTTTGATCTTTCAAGCTCTATCGTTGTACTCAGCGGGTGTTGCATTCCTTCAGTTCAAAAGACGCGAAATAAAAAGCACCCTTCCACAAAAAAAAGTGTCTCACACGGCTCCGGGGGGTGAACAAAAGCCTCCTGTAGCGAATCGATGCGTTTTTGTAAGAAAAATATCCATATTCAAAACGTAATAATCACTTGAATCTAGCTTGCGCTCACTGTTGTAAACGGAACCATAAAGGCAAGTCCGGTTTTATTACCGAAATATCCATGTACATTGGTTGTGTTGTGTTTATTCATTAATAAACTGTGTGGATCATGCGAATGAGAAATGCTTGCTTTTCATTAAAGCTATTCATTTTCAGTTTTTTTTTATTTATCAGTCAGTTCTTCAGAACAGATGATTTACTATTTGTTATCGATTAGTATCGGCATAAAAAACTTAAAATAATAAATGTTACTTTTGCATCCAAAAAATAAACAAAAACAAAATTGCTGCCGAGTTTTTCCAACCTCAACACAGAATATCCACAGCTACAGTATGTCAGACTATCAGTACTATAAGTTGAGATGCAGAGACAAATTTAGGACTCTTTGGCCTTTTTGGTCTCTCCCTTCACCGTCATTCCCTTCCTCTTCACTCCAGTTTGCTCTGTTGAGATACATAACTTTTAAGTATCACAAAGATCATGCTCGAGCTGCTGGAATCTCACACGAAATATGAAATGGGCTTCTGACCTTTGCCTGTAGTTTTATTTTGCTCCTCTCTCTGAGCTGACTGCCTTGCAGAATGTGAGGAGGAGGAGGAAGGGAGCTCCTTCCTCTGTCTGTGACCCTCCAGCATGCCTATCTCCTGGGCTTTTCCTAGAGAGAGGGGTGTGGTTTAGTTTAGGGGGCAGAGCACTATTTTAATGAGTGTATTAATATCTGCCTTTAATTTAAAAAGATTTTCTAACCAGTTATACTTTATATTACCAGCCAGTTTCCCAAAACTGTTTTGATGATGATAATTCTGCGTGATGCATACTACACCTCTGACATCCAGAGATAGAGATGCATTTAGAGAGCATAAAACAAAATCACAAAGCTTGTTAGTTTTGTTAGCCATGCATTCTGGTAGCACTGCAGCCAGCTTCATTTGGCAGAGTTGGAAAGCATTGATCAAAGACATTAAAAGGCAACAGCTAACAAACGTTCTGCTGCGTACCAGATAATTCAAGACTGTTAACTATCCATAATGTAACAAAATAGTTTGAGACAGTGTCTAAATAATTGTTTTTATTGAAATCATTTTTATTTTCTAAAACCCACCATAGTTGTCAAATCCTTTTCTTTACAACACTTTTTTCTAATTGCACTTCCATGAACACTTTTAATATCGTTCAATAATAAACACTGACAATGTTGCATTGTATAACAGCCTATTAATCTATATTAAAATGGTTAGAAATTGTATCCATACATTCCATATCAGAATGTACATTACTTTAATCTGTAAGTATATTTGTTAATGGCATATTAACTGTCTAACTATGTTTCTAGTTTGAATATACTTCAAACATTAATAATGATCAATTTATCATAACTGAGTTGAGATAAAAAGATTACTCACTTTAAACTCCAAAAGATTCAGAAAAAACTAAACATATTTTGTTATAAAAGAGTAGAGCATTGTTAGTTTAAGCAAACAAGCTGCAACACGCTCCTGTAATGATTGGATTTGGAAGAAAATCAAAGATCACTCTCAGTTAAAGCAAAACTACATAGACTGCAGAGCTGCCACATCCCCAAAAAGGATGAAACTCATTTATTTAGGTTCAAATTATTTTACAAAGTACACAAAGTTCCTTGAATGGTCATAAATCAGTTATATTATTAACTCCGATTCTCATCAGGTTATTTAGTAATAACATTACAACTATAAACAACATTTGTTGTCTTACATGCAACAATGAGGGGAAAAAAAACATTTTCATTAATTAAAAATAATACAAATTGCATATCAGTACAATGAATCTAGCACTCTACCAGCATTTACAAATATGTTTAACAAATGAATTAGACAAGTTGCCATAAGGTTTGAACAGTAAGTTACGTACTCCAATTCCACACTCCACACAGTTGGAAAAGTCATGCACAATGCACAATCCTCTTTCTCCTTTCAGCCCAAAGCACTATTCAAAATGCAATGTGCATTCATGAGGACACTGCAACACAAAGTGCTCGCGGAAGGAAAAAAACTAATCTCACATTATGGTCCCAAATACAAGTAAAATTACACACATCCTGCGCAAAATACTAACAGTCCCCATTTATAAACATGTAAACAAAAAAATTGTTCAGAAACAACAGTCTAAAAATGAAAAAGGGAAAAAAACACAACAAACAAGCAAAAAGAACGCAATGTACAGACATCTGAACGACAGTACTAACATTGTTTGAGCTTAAGTTTGTGCCGAAAGGGCTCCATTATCTTACTTGTGTTCCAATCGCAGCAGTTGTTCCTTACCATTTATGGTTACAGATTTTAACTGTCCATCTTCTTCCACTTCTACACGTTCCTGTCCATTCTCAACGATTCTATCAAAACAAATAGCACATCTATGAATTACAGTTTAAAAAGTTGTTTGAGGCTGTGTTGCTTATGTAGTTGGTTTGACGTTGTTTTTATATCTCAAACCTAACCAGCTTATTTGCAACATGAAAGTAAGCTATTTCCTGTGAGACTTCCAATTCATTAGCTGCTATAGGCAGATGATAAGAAGAATATCAAAGTGCAGTAAAGGGTGAAAAAGGATGTGTTTGTGATTACAATAATACTTAATGTAATAATAAATCATATAATTAAAAAAATAGCAGTTTGCAGTATCAAGTAGCATAATGAGCTGTTCTGTACAGCTAAAAATAACTGGAAGCAGATGATACCAGAAGCCTCATACAAATGGCCACATCCACTTTTACGTTCAAAATAAGATGGATAAATGACAACTCTGGAAAGATACCTACCTTTTTGTAGTGATTTTCCTGCCATTGATGAATTTAGTGGAGGTTGACACAGAGCGGAAGCTGCCCATGCCTCCGCCACCTCCCCCTCCACCAAATGAAGTTGAAGAGAAAGAAGTTAATCCTCCTCCTCCCATATGCCCAAAGGGAGAGAAACCTAACAAAATAATAAAATAAAATAAAAAGAGGAATACTATGGCACCAAAAATACATTTTCAAGAGTTTTCTAATCCACAAGTTGTCCTGATTCACATTGATGTAAATATATATGGCCTTGCACCTATAAAAAGATATCATACACCCTGATGTTTGGATTGTAGTACAAGTTTCAGAATTTTTTTTAGGCTGGTTTTGGTCTTTATTTTGAGCAGTTTGTGCTTGCACTTTTACAACTGACAAGACTTTGAACTGAAGCACAAACATATTTGTAATATCTCACCTGCATCAAAAGATGAAAATCCTGCCCCAAAAGGTGGGAATCCCCCAAAGCCCCCATAGAAGGACCCTCCTGTCCGGCTCCTGCTCATGCCCCGGTGGTGGTGGTGGTGCCGCCGACCGCCACCAAAGAAGTCATCATTAAATGGATCTCCACCTAAGAATGTAGCATTTATAGACCTTATGTAGCTCTGCCCCTTTTCAGTACTGTGCTTGTTGTCTTCTGGATTGTATTTCCACAGCATGAAGGTAAAATCTTACAGATTTATAAATGAAGTGAACCACTCATTGTAAAATCTTCCCGGTCTACTGACATCCACTTCAAACATTACAATGCTCATGATAAATATAGTTAACTCTACTATAAGTAATCCAATTCACCAGCTAATTACTCTGCAAAAGCGATGCTACAGAAATATACAAATCTACCGCAATCTAATTTGACAATGAATGCAAAACAAAAAACACTGAGGTAAAAACAAACTCACCAAAGAAGTCTGCAAATGGATCTTGTCCACCAAAGAATTCCCTGAAGACATCCTCTGGATTGCGGAATGTGAATCCTCCAAAGTGGTCATTATTAAAGTGTCCTCTTCCTCCTCCTGTCCAAATGATGAAAAAAGTGACAGGTTTAAACATAACATATTGACATATTATTTATATACATATATTTATTCCAAATTAGGGATTAATTAGGGCCAAACACCATATTATTAAAATTTACTGTAGGATGTAATTTACCTCCACCTGGAGTTAAGCCTTCTTTTCCATATCGATCGTATAAGTTCCTTTTGTTTGCTGAAAAAGAGTAAACCGAGAGTTAAGCAACTATATTTTGGTAATGAACTCATAGTAAAGACCATATAGATTTGTTGCACAGCAACTGTCAAAAATCTAGTAATAAGGCTATATTATTCATGCACCAGCCCTGAATCACACCTTAAAGGCGCCAGACACAGTGGGTGCAGTACCATCAGTCATTAATCATTTTTTGGAATTTGAAAAAAAGGCCATCATAAAGAGCGGCGGCTACCTCTCCTTATAAAGGAGCTTCTCAAAAGTGCAGTCTGTACAAGGCTGATAAGGCTTTGTTTAGCATGCAGTGAGAGTGTGTGTAATCAGCTGTGCCACATTTGGCTAAATAAAAAAAAACACAGCTTGTTTACAGTATATTGAGAATCTACAGCTCCATTGATATAGCACATTTAAAAACCCTTACTGTTACTACTAGCACAAAGTGTAGGGGTGATAACAAAAGAAACTTTTTTTTGGAAAGGCTCAACAGTAAGGATATTTTTGGAGGCCCAATAAATCCAATACAACAAATTTTCACTGGCCGTGAGGGACAATTAAAAATGCTGATATTTTAGGTAAACATTTAAAATGAAAAGCACATTTATTTTTATTATCATTTATAATGATTTAATTACATTTATAATTTAATATTATCTAAAATTCCTTATGTTAGGACTTACCATCTGACAGGACTTCATAAGCTTCTGAAAGCTGCTTAAACTTCTTTTCTGCCTCTTCCTTGTTATCTGGATTCTTATCTGGATGCCACTTGAGAGCTAGTTTCCTGTAACTACAAGGGAAATACAGCTTGACTAGGTGATAAATGAGCCAAGACAACCCTCTAC